CAAAGCCCTCACAATGGTTAATGCAGCAGAACACAAAGAAGACACACCACTCCTCCACGGCTTGGCAGAGGAATAAAGACCGGGTGCTCACCGGCAAGAACATGTCCTCGCTCCAAACCCACATGCACTCAAAGCAAAAGATGATCTGGCCACAGACAGTATCATAGAGATTAAGCCCGTGATTAGTGAAATGCGTCCGAGGGGCGGACCTTGGGTTTTACTCGGTGATGTCGGATGTTCTTCAATAAACTAGCATTTCTATTTATTCTTTGCTTTGAGTGCCAATGGTTAATGCAGACCACGGTGTAAGGAAGTGAGAGACAGGAAATTAGAGGAATTTTTTCCTACAGGGACACAAACAGCAATAAAATACTCCCATAGACCCTTCCCTTCTCTATCCAAGGCACATGTAGAAAAAACTATTCAGAGTGTATTGAATGGGCTTACCTGCCTATGTTCAAGCAGCCATTTCTCTCTTTTCCTTTGTTTTCTCCTTACATTTTTTAGCTTGTTTATTTCTCTCTTGGTTAACCTTTGGTTAGCCCCAGCTGACCTGGTGGGTGCAGGCTGCATGACCTGGGCTGAGGTGGATACATCTGTTGACTGAAAAACATCTCTAGGAGTTGATCTTGGTGGTAAATCATTTGATATGGATGCTGCTGATATAGTACTGTGGCTTTCTTCTTGTGATATTCTAGTAAGAAACAGGTCATCTAGTAGTGTTGATGGGTTTCCTGAAAACTCTGTTAGTCTTGCCAGTGATCTATTGCCAAAAGAAGGTTGATCTGCACTGCTTGAGCTTAATATAGAAACTTCTGTTTGTCTCTGGTTCACCTGTAGCATCATGACGTTTCCACTCCATTCTGGCAACTCCTTGAGGTTCAAGTCCAAACTTTTTGATTTTCTGTGAAATAAATGTACACTACTGGTTCTCCTGCTTTCTCTGCAAATAGGTTCCTTTAATTGTTCAGTTTTTAGAAATGCTTGTGCAATATGTTTTTTAGATGCTGGTACTTCAAGACACAATGCCTCCATTAATAATCCAGAGGGGTGCTTGTATTTGTCTGCAGTCAAAAAAGTTTGATCCCACTTCCTTTGGAAAAGCTCCATCATCCCACATCTGCTTTTGGCGTTGGAATCCTCCTCACGTTTAGTGGTGAACAAAGGAGTAGATGCCAGGTTTGGTTCTGGGACTGAAAAACCTACATCAAGTTTGCTTTTACAAAGACGTATGACGGCAAGATGGCCACAGGTGCATTTTGTTCTTTGAACAAAATTAAAGGCCCCGAGTCGGCACCTGCAATAAGGACAGTTTAGCTTGCCAGCTGTCCAGCGAACCTAAAAATAAGGAGAAGGGAAAATTATCCTGCGGCTTGGCACAATACTACTGAACTGGTGTTTTGTCTGCTTACAAAAGAATTCCCTTTTTTGACTTGCTTTATGTGAAATACAAGCTTGTCAGCACATAGACCACTTTGCTGTAAGCTCTGAAAGAGAAATTCTCAACAACACAGATGTCCCTAGAAAAGAATGACAATGTTGCCACCAGCTCTCTACTGCGATAGAATGAGACATGTAAACCCCTTTGTGGTAACTCATTGTAGATCTATATCTAGACTGTATGTTAAGGTGACCAGATTTTTTAAATGAAATCCAGGACATTTCTTTTTTTTTATTGGCAAATGGTAAAAAAAACTATTTTATTAGCATATTTTCCTCAAATTATATATGCAGAGTATTTAGTATACACCAAATTATGTCCCCGGAAACATAAAATAAAACATGTTTATACTCACCTGATCCTTCGATCCAGCGACGAGCGCAGCCTCCCGTCTCCCACGCTGTCAGAAGCTGCATACAGCGCGAGCCGGTTACTATTTAATCCGGTGCGCGCTGTATGCAGCTTCTGACAGGCTGTGCTACTAGCGTAGCAGGACCTATGCAAAATGTGCAGCCGGCTTCCCCGCTACGCTAACAGCGTATCTTCTCAGAAGCTGCATACGGTTTGTTGCACTTGTGCGTAGTTTGACCCATATATTGATGGCACAGAAATAAATGCTCCCGTTTTGATAAATCTCCCCCCCCCCCCTAATTATAATTAAAAATATGTGCCCTCCTCAAAAACACACAATCATTTCCCTTTAAAGGGCAAGTACGAGTTTAGTGAAATGCACTAGTCTACTCCCTCTAGCCCTATAAACCGAAATGACATAGAAACACCCCATCCAGCTGCTTACTTACAACCACCAGACATGGCCAGTCTGCAGCAGAAGATGGCTGTCATGTTGAGACAAGTAAGCAGCTGGGTGGGAGGAATTTCTATGTCAGTTTAGGTTAGCACTAGGTTACTATTCATTCTTTGATAAAATACATCAATATCAATACGTTTGTTTGGACACATATATGCGGTGTGCTGGTGACATCTTTGTACTCTTTATACAGCATTACCACACAACACAGTCCTCTCTCGTAGGACAGGACCTGATTTTTCTCTGCTGCAGTTAAGTAGCACTTACAGATCTTGTGCCTTCCCCAGCCTGTGACATGACAGTGAAAGGAGAAGCCACAAACTGATAAATTCATGTGTCACTCTACTCTCTCCTTATATCTTCATATTCCTTGTTAGCACAGGAACTAAGACACACACTTGACTGTGCTGTTTTTCCCTTTCCCTACCTGAGCTCTGCTGTACAGGGAACTACAAAAGCGGATACCAAGTAATATTAATGTATTTATAACTGGTTGCATTAAAAAAATATATATATACTTTGTAAACCCTGGTACACATCTGGCTAACTGTGCCTATGGACTGCACCACAGCCAGTATTGTTTTCTGTTATTTCTGTTACACTGCATATGTATTCATTGCATATTATTATGTTATGATGTATTCCTAACAATTAGTGGTAGATTAGCATTACTACAGCTCTACATACTCTACATACTTTGGAACCTTCCATTTCACCCCTGCTGTTTTCTCTACATTAGTACAGTCTTTTACTAGACTCTCCCAGCCTCTCTTTCCTACTTTATTTCTGGCTTCACCCTCACTGTGGTAAGAGGGTCTATGTATCCTGTGCAAGGCTTTAGATATGAATATCTTTTCCACTACTAAGAATGACAAGGAATCACATCCTCTGTGTTGTGAAGGCTAAAAAAAAACTACATTAGTTTCTACCCTGAGTCTTCTTAGTGAGGTGGACCCTGTCTGTGGATACCATCAGCTCAGTAGGTTCATCCGTACAGATGAGTCTCAGGAAGGTATGTTCAAATACATAAATCGTTGGTTGAGACAGAACAACAGTAGAAGTAGATAACCCTCTACCTTCCTTTAAGCCTACAGAGGCTGCCTTTCTCAACCTTTTTACTGTGGAGGAACACTGGAAATAAGCTGTCAGGGAACGTCTGTAGTACTGTATATTGTAGGTATAATAATAAATAAAAGTATGAAGAATGTGGTGTACTTGAAGTATTTGATACCTAGAGGGCCAATGCAAGAAAATTATTTTCAGTAATAATCACAAAATAAAACTAATAATATTGGTCAGTAAAGAAAATCAGATAGGGAAAACTGTTTTGTGACTTTACATGGGTGGTCAATGGAAAAAGGTCATTATTGGTCTTTGAATGAGATGTCCCTTTAAAATTGTTAGTCAGTGGAAGAAGGACCAACAACCATACACCGTAAAAGTGTTCTCCTACATTGGTGGTCAGTGGGAGAGGTGTCTCTTTAGATTGGTGGTCAGTGGAAAGAATACCCCTTATGTTGGTGGTAACCAAAAAAGCCCTACTATATTGATGGTTAATGGGAAGAATTCCCTGTTCATTTGGGAGTTAATGAGAAGAATGCCACTTATGTTGGCGGTTAGTAAAATGACCCATTATGTTAATGGTCAATCAATGGTGCGTCTTTGGAAGTATGATCTTTACATTGGTGGCCAGTGGAAAGAATGTCTCTTGCATCATTGGTGACAGTTGTTACTTACCTGAGAGATGAGAGGAGAGGCTTTCCTGCTCCCTTGTCGCTTGTTCTGCAGAGTGAGGATGGTGCAGGAACTATGCAGACACCATCAGGTGGAAGAACAGTCCCCCACTGGTCAACATTTATGGAACCCCTAGCAACTTCTGTATGAAATCTAGACTTTTTATTGGACCCCTGATTGAGAAAGGCAGCCCAAGAGTGTCGTGCAGAGATCATATGCCATGTGACTACACAACGTTACCAACTTGAACCTCTGTAGCAATCTTTCTTCCTATGCTGAAACTTTTGAAACAAGAAGCAAAGTGACCTAATTTAAAAAGATGGTTTTAGGGTACTTTCACAATTCGATTTTTTTTAATTAAAGGAGAACTATGGGGTTAAGGCTTTTCCCGGTAGTTCTCCTTAAGGTAACGGGAGGACACAAACTAGCGTCCTCCCGTCACCCTAGGCTCAGTATACCGTGAGTTGAGCTCGCGGTATACTGAGACACCGCAGTATACCGCGAGCTGCTGTCTGGATCCGCCCAGCTGCATGACTGACAGCTGGCTCTGCCTATCTAGAGGCAGAGCCAGCTGTACCCGCCCCCTCCCCCGTCCATTCCGCCACTCAGCGCAGGCGGATCGGAGCGGGGAGGGGGGAATCCAGCCCCTCCCCTGTCACAGCAGAGAGCTGTGACAGGATCGAGAGGTGAGCGAACGCCGGTATGTGTTCACTCACCTCCCGATCTACTGAGCCGAACTGTGACAGTCTCATTGTCACAGGTCGGCTAGAACTATGAGGCACGCACCTCATAGTTCTCCTTTAAAGGATGCAAAATCTACCTAGTGACTTTTGCTTTGACTGAAGATCCCACTTAATTTCCAGTTTCCAGTTTCACCTTCATTGATAACATCCTGTGCTGGTGGAAGTCCCAGCTAATGTTACATCCATGAGTTCCCCATTAAAGGATCAAGATTGTAGCTTTGTTCCCATCTTTCAGCAACCTTACTGGGAACATAAAAACCGAATAAAACATTACCTTTTCAATCTCTCTTTTTATCCAGTCTGGACTTTCTTCTGCCTCCACGTGCCATATATTACAAGCCCCCTGATAAATGGATGAATCAACATCTTTCTGCAAAAGAAGAAGAAAAATAAAAGTACCTAAATAAAGGCAATGCTGTACACCTCACTATCAAAAACCACATCTTATAATTAAGTACTTTACAGATAAGCATTGCTGGCTGTCTAATCCTAAAAGTCTTTATTTTCTCATTTTCTTTTTGTGTTCTTACTGAAGTTCTGACTTTAAACCTAATTAGAGATGGCTTTGTGCTTCTTGAGATATGAAACAAAAGGGGATAAGAATCCGAATGAGGCAGGCATAGGTCTGCTAAGCTACAGTGTGATGAAAGGGTTCGCTTTTCTGATATAGTGAGATTTATTAAAAGGAAAAACAAAGATTAAAGCTTATCATTAATCCAATTTAATTTTATAACTTATTGGCATTTACTATAGAATCTCTATTGCTCTATTACATCCAATTAAGTTTGATTAAGTTTGCCATTTAACTATAATTATGAGACAGCTCAGTTATACGCGCTGAGATTCAATGTCAATCTAAATGAGTGAATATGAACGACATGTTCTGCTTACACTGAAAGAAGAAATAACAGCTGTAGGAGAGGTCTTTACATATCATATCCAGCTTCTCTCTTTTCTCTGATCAGATCAGTAGTAGGCGGCTGCATAGGCAGGAAATCACCCATTTTCTTGTGCACAATGCATACAATGAACAGGGTATTGTCAGGTCAAGCATATGTAAGGGAAGCCCGACCTCCCTTTAACTCATACAGTGCATTCTGTTATCAGCTTAGGAAAATATGCCATCATTCAATATCAGAAGTGAAGAGGTGACAGCACCACCAGTGAGTCCTTTCTAAGTGACGTTATTTCACCAGATGGATATGGTTACGTTTCTGTTTTTACAGGATCAAAAGGGATTTGCTGATTTTGCTGTCACCTCTGTACTTACATCAGAAAGTGAGCTTGAGGCTTTTCCACCAGTCATATGCACCTTGTATAGCAGACAAGATATGTGGAGACCTTCTTTATCATCAGTTTTGAACATCTGATATTGTCCTTACCATTTATGCAAGTAAGGATATTTCAGAAACAGTTATCACAAGTTTTATAAATGGATTAACTGATTTACTGAAGATTCAAGAATTGCATTGCTAGGAACTTGGCTTGTGCTGTCGGCAAGGGTTATGTCTATAGTTGTTAAATACTCAGTTATCTTTGGGTTAGAACATCTGTAAGGTTTCTCCTTCTGTATCAGCCAGGTGTGTGTTAAGGTAGACTTCTCTGGCTGTGTTGATGCCCCGTTAGCTCAGGAGAAGAGCTGCGGCATTGCCCTAGACACACAGTTACCAACACCCCAGCAGAAGACACAGTACGGCCAAGGGGGGTTCTCTGGCTGAGAGCCAGGGATGGATGGACCATCACAAAGATGGAGCAGGAAAGATAGCGGTACACTGTGAGAGTCCCATTCACACTCATACATTTTTAAGTGCCCTTGCATTAGTATACGTTAAAAAACGTATCACAACACAACGGATCTGGTGTGAATGGGGCCTTACTGAAGGTATGTGTAGAATATATGGACTTACTGCTGTTAGCATCAGTTTTCTATATTTTCTGTAAATGTGCATTCATGGAAGCCTCTAGCAGTCCAGAAGAATACAGTTTACCCTTAGGAATGAATGGGGCTGTGGCACGCATGTGAACTGAGATAAAGACCTGGCTGGGACTTTTGCAGGAAAGGCTCTGCAGTGCTGGGCAGTGTCACACAGTGAAGAGGTTATTTGTCCAGGTGGGGAGGAGGGAATTAAAAGGATACTTGTACAGAAAGGTGTCCTTTAAAGTGACACTAAACTCAGGAGGTAGATCTTAAAAATGCAATCAAGTACCTTAACTATTAACAAAACTGTATCTTATTTGTGTATCACTCAGCTGTAGATCCTCAAATCATCTCTGAATCAGTGCTGAAACTGTCCTTCCTTCTGGAGGGTGGCTACTTTTGTTTTCCATGGTCCCTGTGTGTGTTATAAAGTAGCCACCCTCCAGAAGGAAGGACAGTGTCAGCACTGATTCAGAGATGATTTGAGGATCTACAGCTGAGTGATGCACAAATAAGATACATTTTTGTTAAAGGAGAACTATGGGGTCAGTGTTTTTCCCCATAGTTCTCCTTGGGGTAATGGGAGGACACAAACTAGCGTCCTCCTGTTACCCTAAGCTCAGTATACCGCGAGCTACAGCTCGCGGTATATTGAGACGCCGCACCTGGAGCGGATCCCGACTTAGATGACGGGATCCGCCCAGCTGCGTGAGTGACAGCTGGCTCTGCCTATCTAGAGGCAGAGCTAGCTGTACCCGCCCCCTCCCCCGTCCGTTCCGCCAGTCAGCGCTGGCAGATCGGAGCGGGGAGAGGGGAATCCAGCCCCTCCCCCTGTCACGGCAGAGAGCCGTGACAGGATCGAGAGGTGAGCGAACCCGGTATGTGTTCCCTCACCTCCCGATCTACTGAGCCGACCTGTGACAGTCTCATTGTCACAGGTCGGCTTAGAACTATGAGATGAGTGGAAATCACTCATGTCATAGTTCTCCTTTAATAGGTACTTAAAATGTATTTTTAAGATTTAATTTATGAGTTTAGTGTCACTTTAACTGTGTGCCTTGTGAAAGAAAGTGTATGTACGAAATCTTTCTTTTAGGCTGGGCGTTTTTCAGCGCTGATCGAACCGCTGAAAAACGCTCAAGCCGTGAAATCCTATTAATTCCTATGGGAAAAAATGCCCTACGCCCGAAATAGTACAGGAGCTTCTTTGGGGCGGATTTCAGCGTGTATCCATTGGTATTCCCGAGTGTGGCTCGGGGTTAACAAAACGGTAACCCCGAGCCACTTGCGAGCGTCCGCGTCGCAGGGGGGCGGAACCGGCGGGAAGTTTAAAAAAAGGTTTTTAAAAAAATGAAAAGCAGATAGGGAAAAAAAAAAACCATACCGACAGGGAGGTTAAAAAACGAGCGTCGAACACGTGTTTCATTGGACAAAAAAAGTGCTTAAAAACGTGCATAAAACACGCCTATCAGGAATGCCCAGGTGTGAACCCAGCCTTATATTCAGCCATTTTGTTTTTCAACATTCTTGTCTTTCTCTTTTGACTTTCTAAAGAAAAAAACTGTAAACAACTACCAGTTTCAGCTAAGACTGGCATTTTCTGAAGGTCATTTGGTACATAAGGTTTAGGTGCATGTGCCGTCAGAATTATGATAATTACAAAGCATATAAAATTGTGTGCTAGTTAATAAACTTTAGGAATTGCTAATCCTAAAAATGATCCTAATCCTTGGATCCTAAATCCAAGTGTGTGTGTGTCAGTTTCCATTCCTCGCACGATCATTGTTAATAATAATTGTAATAATAATTGATCCAACTTGTGGACAGCACATAATATTGCCTGTCATTGCAGTAAAGAAGACCCTTTGCAGCCAGAATAAATCTGCTTTTCAAATGCAGAAGAATTGTTATACAGCCAAAAACTATAAGCATTCAAAGTCCCTAGAAAGTGCTCAATGATCGTATGGAGGGCTGTTGCTAGCGGCAACTGAACAACGCAACAGAACAATTGGGAACCACAAGCAAACGGACACTATAATGATGCAAAGCTGAGGCTAAGCAATAGTTAGCTAACGGGCATTAATTAGCATATGGCAAACGGCAGCGGTGTTACCCAAATAGATTCTTGTATATAGACTGTCCAGTATCAAGTGCCCTTTATTGCCAATATTTGCCACACACAGGTTTAATCAATACATTCATGCAGGTGCAGAAAATAAGTCTGTGCATGTCTTTCTGCAGCTGTAGATAAAGTGAGAAAATTGCTTCCAAACAGATCTCTGGTATATTATTATTAGTGTATTCTTATACAGCATTTATATAGCAGCAACAGTTTGCACAGTTTGGGGGGAGACAGTACAGTTACAATACAATGTCAGTACAATAGGGTTAGGATGACCCTGCACAAACTGTCCAATATCATGTGCACTCTATTGCCTGTATATACTCAGTGATCATATTACTAACAGCAACGGAAGATGACAGTCCAGATAAACCGCTGAAAGCAATAAAGATTATTGGCAAGCACAGAAAAAAAATTAACACTGTAATGCTGCAAAGCTAAAGTTGTTGCTGAGCAATTGTTAGCAAGAAGGCATTAATTAGCATATAGCAAATGGCAGTTGTAGGTAATGCAAGCAGGTTGCTTCCCAACAAATCTCATGCATACATGAGATTTATCAAAAACATTTGCATAGCTATTTATCCAGCAAAACCGCATGCACATTCGTTGTGTGTGAATTAACCAGCTATTGTGACAATGGGGCAAAATCGAATGTTCTTCGGCTACGTAAATATAAGTTAAAGGAGAACTCTGAGGTGAGTGCTTTTCACTCACCTCATAGTTCTAGCCGACCTGTGACAATGAAACTGTCACAGGTCCGCTCAGTAGATCGGGAAGTGAGCGAACACATACCGGCGTTCGCTCACCTCTCGATCCTGTCACGGCTCTCTGCCGCTCCGATCCTCCAATGCAGAACATACAGAAAACTGGCAAAATACCACAATATGGCCACTAGATGGAGTGGAGGAACATAAGAAATAAATACATCTTAGCAACAAGAGATACAATGTAAGAATTCTAGAGGACACTGGAGGTAATTGTCAAGTGAATGTAACCATTGCTACCACGGTAGTTCACTTATTTGTTTATTCCCTCCAGTGTAGACTTGCTGCATTGTATCTCTTTTACTAAGATGTATTTATTTCTTATGATCCTCAGCTCCCTCTAGTGGCCACACTGATGCATTTTGTAGAGTCATATATGTTCTTTATGAAGGCACCCAGAAGAAAAAAAAAAATTGCCATGTTCTCACAACAGCTGGTTAATTTGCACAGAACAAATGTACATGCAGTTTTACTTGATGAATAGCTAAGCACTAACCTGATAGATTTAATTCAAACCTTCATTCTGCTGCAGAAAGACAGTCAATGAAAGAGGATTGAAGTTTACA